AGCAACAATTGTTGAGCAACAAGCTGGGTAACAAGCTGGGTAACAAGCTGGGCAACAACTGCTAGGCAATAAGCTGGGCAACAAGCTGGGCAACAAGCTGGGCAACAAGCTGGGCAACAACTGCTAGGCAATAAGCTGGGCAACAAGCTGGGCAACAAGCTGGGCAACAAGCTGGGCAAGAATTGCTAGCCAACAAGCTGGGCAAGAATTGCTAGCCAACAAGCTAGGCAACAAGCTAGGCAACAAGCTGGGGAACAAGCTGGGCAACAATTGTTGGGCAACAAGCTGGGCAACAAGCTGGGCAACAATTGTTGGGCAACAAGCTGGGCAACAAGCTGGGCAACAATTGTTGGGCAACAAGCTGGGCAACAAGCTGGGCAACAATTGTTGGGCAACAAGCTGGGGAACAAGCTGGGCAACAATTGTTGGGCAACAATTGTTGGGCAACAATTGTTGGGTAACAAGCTGGGCAACAAGCTGGGCAACAATTGTTGGGCAACAAGCTGGGCAACAATTGTTGGGCAACAAGCTGGGCAACAAGCTGCGCAACAATTGTTGGGCAACAAGCTGGGCAACAAGCTGCGCAACAATTGTTGGGCAACAAGCTGGGCAACAAGCTGGGCAACAATTGTTGGGCAACAAGCTGGGCAACAAGCTGGGCAACAATTGTTGGGCAACAAGCTGGGCAACAAGCTGGGCAACAATTGTTGGGCAACAAGCTGGGCAACAAGCTGGGCAACAATTGTTGGGCAACAAGCTGGGCAACAAGCTGGGCAACAATTGTTGGGCAACAAGCTGCGCAACAATTGCTGGGCAATAATTGCTGGGCAACAATTCCTGGACAAAACAATTGCAATTTCTAGGTGGGAATGCGTGAGTACGGACGGTTTTTGGCTTAAAGGCATTCTGATCAACAAAATCATTACTTCATTTAATTTGGGAATGATTTATTCGATGCAAATGCTAGGAAATGGGCTTTGTTTTAATCGGTGAGTGATTTAAAAGCGTTTTTTCGCAGAGGAAGCTTATGGAGGCCGTGGTCTAGTGGATAAGAGTCTTGTTTTCGAGACGAACGGTGACGATTTTTGCTCGGGTTCGATTCCTTTTGATGAGAAACTTTTCATCAAAAGTTGAAAAACTAATTCCTGTGTTTTCGTTTGCAGATTGTTTGCCGTTTTCTTTGATGGTCGTTTTTATTCGAAAATCGAGCGTATCGCTTTGCCGCATGGGTTGATTTTGTGGGCGATACCGGTTGCTGTTTATTGTTATCAAATTGGAGATTGTAAGTGATTTAGAAAAGTGACTGTGATCTTTTAAGAAGCTTATTTGAAAGTACAGTAATCCCTTGTAGTTACAGTAATCTGATAACGAGTACAGTAATCCAGAGAATGTCTGGAAGTAGTTAAAAAGACGATTCTCTGAAAAAAATCAACCAATTACAGTAGTCTTTGAAAAAGACGGTTTCGTTTGTTATGGCTGCTGGTATTTCACTCCATTAGAGTACTGTAACACTTGTTTATATCGTTGGGATGATACAGTTACCTTTTTCGTCGATCATTTTGATCATATTATGTATGGAATTTTGGGAGTGACGATGGTGTTTGATGTGTTGACGTTGTGGAGAGTCAGGAGATTGGTGGGTTTATTGTTAAAAGATGATGTGATATCCAGATAAGAAAATGTGAAAAGGAGAAATTGTATAGTAAAGAGTACGGTAACTTTTCCCATGCTGTAGAGAATCGAGGAGTGATGGATGAAATTTTGCAGAAATCAAGGATCTACCTCAACGAAAAGCTAGGGTGATATCCAGATCAAAAAATCTGAAAATGAGAAATTGTATAGTAAAGAGTACGGTAACTTTTCCCATGATGTAGAGGATCGAGAAGTGATGGATGAAATTTTGCAGAAATCAAGGATTTACCTCAATGAAAAGCTAGTGTGACTTCCAGATAAGAAAACCTGAAAAGGAGAAATTATATAGTAATGAGTACGGTAACTTTTCCCATGCTGTAGAGAATCGAGGAGTGATTTTATGAAATTTTGTAGAAATCAAGGATCTATCTTAGCTAAAAGCTAGTGTGATATCCAGATAAGAAAATCTGAAAAGGAGAAATTGTATAGTAAAGAGTACGGTAACTTTTCCCATGATGTAGAGGATCGAGAAGTGATGGATGAAATTTTGCAGAAATCAAGGATCTACCTTAGCTAAAAGCTAGTGTGACATCCAGCTAAGAGAATCCGCCAAAAATTAAGACACCAAGTGTACTGTAGCTTTTCAAATCTAATTGAACTAATCTGCTACTACAAGTGCTAACAAATGTGCTTGTCTTGAAAATTGAATTCAACCAAAATGTTGTGTGATATCCAGATAAGAAAGTTTGAGAAGAAAATTTCAGAGAAAACTCTCCGAGTCAAAGCGGCGAGCCGACATTCGTTTATCGATTATGGTAAGGGTTAAAAAGTTTGTAAAATGAAATCAATTCAGTTGGTGACCACACATTTTATCACGATTTGTTTTCTTTTCGGAAATTGGGTGGCTAACAATTTGGTTACTACAGGAATGCCAATTTTTTATTATCTTATTCTTGAAGTTTCTCCATTTATCGTTCATTCTGTGTTGGGGTAAAGATTTTGATTTGATTAGACGAATTCAACAAAATAAGCCTTTAGCTCCATCGTTATCATTTTCAATTTACCGCCAAAGAAACGAAAAGATATGAATGCCGCGACGACCACGGTCACAAGTGTGTCAGTGGTGGCGGCAAGGAATCGGACACAAATTACACATGTGAAAAAGCATTAGAAAAGAATAAATCGAATTTGATTGAGTTCTGGAACGCACAGTAGCTAATGGATACGTTTTTTGATGTACTTTTCCCCATTTTTCTTTGGTTGGATTACACAATTTCGAGAAGACAAAAGAAACTGGTGTACCCTGTTGAATCTTGATAAATCCCTTAAGCAAAGTTGAATTCTGGAACGCACACTAGCTAATGGATACGTTTTTGGATGTACTTTTCCCCATTTTTCTTTGGTTGGGTTACACAATTTCGAGAAGACAAAAGAAACTCCTGTACACTCGTTGAATCTTGCCATCTCCCTTAAGCAAAGTTTCATTCTGGAATGCACACTAGCTAATGGATACGTTTTTGGATGTACTTTTCCCCATTTTTCTTTGGTTGGGTTACACAATTTCGAGAAGACAAAAGAAACTCCTGTACACTCGTTGAATCTTGCCATCTCCCTTAAGCAAAGTTTCATTCTGGAATGCACACTAGCTAATGGATACGTTTTTGGATGTACTTTTCCCCATTTTTCTTTGGTTCAATTACCCAATTTCGAGAAGACAAAAGAAACTCGTATACCCGTTATCGTATATAAGTAAAGTTGTATTCTGGAACGCACACTAGCTAATGAATAAGTTTTGAACGTACTTTATACTCTAGTAAACACCCCGTTACTAGTTCACTGAATTCTTCATTTTTCCTGTGGAAATCAGCGGAACAAGAAAAATTATGAGCTCAGCACGCCAGAAAGGATGCATTTACCAAAGCACAAAGTACACTTTGTGCTTTTTGAGCTCTAAAATTTCAGTTCCTTGGCCAATCCTAATAAAATCAACTCCGATAATTGCGTTGCACTCAATTTCTGAGAATTTTAGAGATTGCTAATAATTTATCGTATTCTATTTCCCCAAGCTTTGATTTATTGGTCATAATCTCGTTGTGGGGGTGATAAATTTGGGTTAATCGTTTTTTACGCAAAATCAACATCGACCGTAGCTTAAGAAGTAAATTTGCACTTTAAAAGACGACATTTCTATCGTAATTTGTCTGAAAATACCGTAATCTGACGCGTATTTCTATCGTAGTCCCTAACGACACATTTACGACACAAAAACTCTAATAGAACGGCCTATAGAAGCTCTATAGGAGCGTCGCGTAGTCTAATAGTAAGTTGTAAGTTTACTCTTAAACAAACGCTTATATCTCGACACCAGTGCGTTTATTTCTGCGCGTTTAAGGATCAAATAAAAGTAGAGAAAGTGGGTGATTTTTTAAGATATAATACAAACTTTTATCATTAACCCGTACTTAGAAAAAATGATTGAAACTCGGCTCTTTTTTGTTACTTTTCAATCATTTTTCTAATTACTGGTTAATGCTAAAAAGATTTGCTATATCTTAAAAAATCACCCACTTTCTCTACTTTTATTTGATCCTTAAACGCGCAGAAATAAACGCACTGGTGTTGAGATATAAGCGTTTGTTTGAGTGTGGGAAACAAAAAATTTTCATTATTTCTCGTCACGAATGTTTTCTTGAAAATTTTTGAATTTTGAATTAAGTTTTACGGGAGTGGGACAAATGCGACCTTTTTTTGCGCACCCGGACATTTGCGCACCTTTTTTTCCGCACCTTGCCCATTAGCGCACCATTTTTCGCGTTTTAAACTCTAAAAAGCTAATATTAACCAATTTCTATTCCAAAAGTTGTTTTTCTAGGTAATTTAAGGGCGTAGAATCGAAATTTTGACATAACAGAGCTTGTGGAACCAGACAAAACGACAAAACGTTTTGTCTTTGAAAGACAAAACGGCTAGATCAAATTACAGAAAATTGTCGATTTTTCTCTTTGTATAACTCCGTCCGTTTGTTTCCGCAAGCTCTGATATGTCAAAATTTCGATTCTACGCCCTAAAATTACCTAGAAAAACAACTTTTGGAATAGAAATTGGTTAATATTAGCTTTTTAGAGCTTTTTTTAGCTTTTTAAGCTTTTTTAAAACGCGAAAAAAGGTGCGCTAATGCGCAAGGTGCGGAAAAAAAGGTGCGCAAATGTCCGGGTGCGCAAAAAGGTCGAATTTGTCCCACTCCCAAGTTTTACACTTTCAAGATGTTTTGTTAAATATTATTCTTCTTTTTCCGCACCTAATTAACCTTTTCGTTTAGATTCGCACGGGTGACGAAAGGAAAAAAGGGACGAGCCGCTGACTGCAGAATGGACGAGCAGCTGACTAAAGTGCACAAGGACATATATGCAATTGTTGCATCGGTACAAGGAGGATGTCAAGCTTCGAAAATCCTCCACGAATATCGGTAAGGGTTTTGGTGGATTGCTAGACGCCTTATTGAGCTTATGATTTCTCCGATAAAGCCAGCCAGCCAGCTAAAAACAAACTTAACTTTAACTCGTAATCATTCAATTTTGCCGCAACCAACATTTTCTTGATTTAAAGCTTTTTCGTTTAAACATTTTATTCTTTAGCCAGAACTATGGAATGCTGGACTTCAGGAAATTTGGGCATAAAAATCTCAACGAATTCCTGGCCACCGTTCCAAAGATCTTCGTCTCAAGAAATGCCATTGGGGAAACGCTTTACAAGGCGAAGTAAGCATTGATCTTGCGATTTAACTTTTGTTTCTCAGATTAGCCGACTCGGAAGCCGCTCGGGACATTCAATTTCAAGTGTCCATGCAGAAAGCACCCGATCGAGTCAAAACACAAAACTTTAAGAGGTTAATTGATGTATTTAACATATAATACTAAGCTAAAGTCATTTAATTACTTGGTTTTAGGCTGCTTATGAAATCTTTGATGGTTAATTGATGTATTTAACCTATAATGATGAGCTAAAGTCATTTAATTACTTGGTTTTAGGCTACTTATGAAATCTTTGATGGTTAATTGATGTATTTAACATATAATGCTAAGCTAAAGCCATTTAATTACTTGGTTTTAGGTTGCTCATGAAATCTTTGATGGTTAATTGATGTATTTAACATATAATAATAAGCTAAAGTCATTTAATTGCTTGGTTTTAGGCTGCTTATCAAATCTAGGTGCTAAACTTTAAATCAAAGAATGATGACTTTAATTTAGAAGCCATTCTACACGTGGCCAACTTCCTCAAACTTTCCAGCGTCAAACCCGCCAGCGATCATCTTATGGTGCTGCTTTCGCAACTCAATCCTCACACGACAATCAAAACAGAACGCTTCACGGCTTCAAAAAGGACTATGTCAGCTCGTGGGTTCGCACTTCGACTCCAATTGAAGATCCAAATGGTCAGAAACCAATTCCACTCTTAGACGAGGTTTGTTTAAACTTTGAGCCTTTAAACCTTTTTTTTAGGTGTCCACTTATAATCGGATTCACAACGGATTTGTTCAGGATAGAAATTTCGCTCCACAATTGTATCCAAGACAGCTGCCTTCATTTAAACAAAGTTAGAGAAGCTTTTAGTATAAAAACACTTCTTGTTAAGATTATGATAACCGCTCTGTGCAACACTCGCACTCAACGTGGTCTAATCATTCGGGAAGATTTTCACAACATTCACAGGTACGTTTAGTTAACAGCTTACTGATTTTAAAACCTTTATTGTATAATTTAGCAGGATCTTGGAGAGAAATCGAGAAACAACTCGAATCCCTATCGTCAGAAGGCTAATCAGGCTGCTGCTGCTGCTGTGCCCCAAACCGAAGCTCCACGAGTGTCAAAGACATCTCAATTGCTGCAGGGTTGAGATTATTCGTGTAACTTTCAACCCATAATTTAGATAAAGAGATCAAAGCTGAGTGCGAGACTTTATCCATAACATCCGGTATTTTTCGGGACGTAAATTTATCGATAGTTTTGTTTAGGTCGATCAAGTCCGAAAGGAGTTGCCCTGTTCAATTGGGGTAAGAAATCAAAGCAGGAAATACCTGAAACACCTGAAACACCAAACACCAGTAAGCGATTAATAGTTTAACTTATTTATGCAAATTCCTAGAAAACCGCTCTGTTTGACTTCGTGCACAGTTTCTCGCAGATGTCCTTGAATGAGAGATCGTCAAGCCAAGGAGTTAACAAATCTCAAAGATGCAACGAGTCAACGGAAATTAAGGTGAGTTTGAAAGGGGTGAAACAAGTTGTTTTTTGGCTATCGAATAAGTACAAAGCTTTTAAGTTTTAGTATGATCCGGTGAGCAGCACTCTAAATGTTGATGGATTGACGAGTCGGATTGACGGTGCAACGACACCACTTGTTGACTACTCTTTCTCGGATGACTCTTTTAGCGAAGAGGTTTTGCAAATTTACCTAATTCCCTTGTCATTACATTTTTCGTTTAAGAAGATCGTTTCAAGCTCATTATCGGTGGAGAACATTGACAAGAGAAAGTCGCTTGAAACTACTCAGGTTTTACAATGTTTCAAAAAATAAATTTCCTTTTTTTTAGATTACCACTACAACTTCGGTAATGAATGACGAGAAAGCTGAACAAGTGATGATTGATTTGCAAAGAAGCATGGAGAATGAGCCCCAATCATTGCAAAATCTTGCCGCTCAGCATGAACAAAATCTTGCCGCTCAGCAAGTGATCGGCGATTTGCAAGAGAACAAAAAGAACGAGCCAAAAGCGCAAAATCTCGCCGTTCAAAAGGCACAAGATCGACAAGCCAAAGCTCATGAGGTATTTTATAGTTTATTACTGCGCAATGATTAGTTTTAGCGTTGGAAGACTAAAATAGCAGCGATCATCCGTAAAGCGGTCACCGATTTGGGGTCAACGCAGCAAAATCACACGCCAGGTAATGTAAAGGTGGGTGCTTTAAAGATTTTTAAAGCATACGCTTGAGTTAGGAACCTTTTAAACCTCTAAACTTTAAAATGCGGAAATCTCGATTCATTTATAACGTAATAAATATCATGAAACATATTTGTGAAAAGCCATATTGACTGTCAATTTTAGCAATCAATAGTGGTGTCTCCGCTCGTCATGAAGAAAGCTCTAGATCTAGTCGATGAGCGCCGCTCCAAACAAGACTCTCTGCTCGACATGAAAAGACGAGCCGATCAAAAAAATAAATAAATTTCATTTCCTGCTCGTTTCGCATGTATTATTATTTCGTTCAGTCTTTCCTTTCTTTTAATTATTTCGTTGTGTTTTTAAGCTCATGTTTTTGCAAATACATTATTGGCTTTGTTTTAAAATTATTATACAATATCTTGTTTGGTTCTCTTTTCTATTTTTTTTTTTTTGGGGTCCTTCTATGATACTTCAACGTTTTTAATTACCTGTGTCCAGTTTTATAAACGTTTATCCCAATGCAAGCAAGTGTGATGAAATGTAAATGTTCTTTGAATATCAAGCTGGATGGCCATGCTAGCTTTTGGCTAGGTTAAATTGATTGATTTGCACAGAGGCAGAATCACAAAGTTCATGACACTCTAAAGTGGGGAAACTCGATCATACTCTTTACTATATAATCTACTTTTTTTCAGACTTTCTGATCTGGATGTCACAGCATTTTTTGACTAAAATGAATTCTTGATTTGATCAAAAAAAAATTTAATCACAGAAATCGTTTAAAATTTCGGAATTCATCGAATTCTTTGAAAAAACAGTGATTTTCCCTTGAACACCCAAAATTTTAGTCATTTTTTTTGTCTTTCTCTTGAGATTATCTCAAGACTACGAGACTCTTTCTATACGGTTTTAGATTTTCAGAGGAATTTTGAAATATTCTTCTTTAAAACTAAAAGGAAACTTGTCATTTTATGTTTTCCGGCCGAATTTGACCATTTTTCTTTGAAAAATCACGAAAGTGTACCTCAATTTGTGGTAATTTATGGAGAAATTCACGTCTTCTAAATGCTTTGTAGCTTTTTATTAGTCAGGTTTCGCGTTCACGCAAAAACAGAGCTGAAATTCGCTTGACGCATGGGAAAAGTTACCGTACACTTTAGTATATGAACTAATTTTTGAAGATTTTCTTATCTGGATTTCACACTATATTTTGGATATGTTAAATCGTTAATCTGAAGCAAATTTTATTAAAATAGTTTTTTTTTTGAAAGAGAAATGCCTTTCGAAAACGGATTAGCCATTCTCTTTCTTTCTCCTTCTTTCTCTTCCTTTCTCTTCCTTTCTCCTTCTTTCCTTCTCTCTTCCTTTCTCCTGCTTTCTTCTTCCTTTCTTCTTCCTTTCTTTTCCTTTCTCTTCCTTTCTCTTCCTTTCTCTTCCTTTCTCTTCCTTTCTCTTCCTTTCTCTTCCTTTCTCCTTCTTTCTCTTCCTTTCTCTTCCTTTCTCCTTCTTTCTCTTCCTTTCTCTTCCTTTCTCCTTCTTTCTCTTCCTTTCTCTTCCTTTCTTCTTCCTTTCTCCTTCTTTCTTCTTCCTTTCTCTTCCTTTCTCCTTCTTTCTCTTCCTTTTCTTTCTTATTTCTTCTCGGGAAAAGAAGGCCCAAATAGCTCAGTGGTAAAGCATTTGCCCGGTATGCATCGAGGGTTCAATTCCCTTGTTCAATTCCCAATTCTAGAGTGTTTACCATTTTCTTCAATGGCAGTTTCAATGCAAAAATTGAGCGACTCGCTGTTTGCCGCACGGGTTTCTTCTCTGAGCGATTTTGATTGCTGTTTTTTTGCTTTAAAATTGGAGATGATTGATTTGTGATTGGCTTATTTTCAACATTTCCTACCATTTTCAATTTTTAACACAATCACCGATTATATTTGTTATACTGGCTGATATTTCACTCCTCTACAGTACACAAATACGAAATTACTTTAATGAAATCACATCTCGACCTTTCTAAAGTATTATTTCAATAAAATTATTTAGAGATTACTTACAATAGAGATTACTAATCGTTTTCAATTGCTTAAAGGCTGTGGAAAGTGAGGGAAATATCAGTGCATCGTTTTCGAATAAGTCACCATAAAAAGCTACCGTAATCCTCGAGCAGGCTTTATTTTAGATTGGATTCAAGTTTAAGCCAGAGTTTTCCATCCCAGACAACATCCTGGATCAGCTAACTTGCTTAGAGCCTAGTGCTGAGACAGTAATACAGTCTAATTCATTCGTCGAGATCTTTTTCCATCTTTTAGAAAATGCTCTCGTTTCTTTCTTTGCTACATTTGAAAATGAAATTTCTTTCAAACTTGTTACTTTACTCTTTTTCTAATTATCTTCGAGTTAAAAGATTTATGATTCTTTATGATTTGGTTTGGAAATAAAAAAATTTAACATAAAACAAGATAAAAATAAAAATGATTTTCTTAGGAAAAAGTGAAATGAAACATTGAAGTTGAAACAAAAAGAAAAAACAAAATTCGAATCCATATTTTGGATCCAAATCCATATTTTCCAGGAAAGTCAAGTTCCTTAATTTTGAGTCTTTTTATACAGAAAATTTTTGAAAACCTGAAAAGTCTAGGCAAGGCAAAGCAAAGCAAGGCAAGGCAAAGCAAAGCAAAGGAAGGCAAAGCAAGGCACGGCAAGGCAAAGCAAAGCAAAGGAAGGCACGGCAAAGCAAAGGAAGGCAAAGCAAGGCACGGCAAGACAAGGCAAAGCAAAGCAAAGCAAAGGAAGGCACGGCAAAGCAAGGCAAGGCAAAGCAAAGCAAAGCAAGGCACGGCAGGGCAAGGCAAAGCAAAGCAAGGCAAAGTAAGGCAAGGCAAAGGAAGGCAAAGCAAGGCACGGCAAAGCAAGGCAAGGCAAGACAAGGCAAAGCAAAGCAAGGCAAGGCAAAGCAAAGGAAGGCAAAGCAAAGCACGGCAAAGCAAGGCAAGACAAGGCAAAGCAAAGTAAAGCAAGGCAAAGTAAGGCAAGGCAAAGCAAAGCAAGGCAACCCAAGGCAAAGCAAACAGGACCTAGCTTTTTTAGACGTCCACGAAATCCATTTTCAGCCTGAGAAAACAAGCCAAGCACCAAGCTGAGTAAATCGTTACTTTAGAACCGCCGCTCGAAATCTCGTAAGGCTGATTTAAGGCCAGGCCTTAGGTCTTAAATCACCCTTTAAGGCCAGGCCTTAGGCCTTAAATCACCCTTTAAGGCTTTAAGGCTTTAAGGCAAGGCTTTAAGGCAAGGCTTTAAGGCAAGGCTTTAAGGCAAGGCTTTAAGGCAAGGCTTTAAGGCAAGGCTTTAAGGCTTTAAGGCAAGGCTTTAAGGCAAGGCTTTAAGGCTTTAAGGCTTTAAGGCAAGGCTTTAAGGCTTTAAGGCTTTAAGGGTTTAAGGTTTTAAGCAAAGCAAAGCAAAGCCTTTAAGCAAAGCCTTTAAGGCTATTTAAGGCTTTAAGACTTTCAGCGTGCTCATTTAATTTCAATTTGACGTATTTATATAGCAAAAAGCTCAAAAAGCTGATTTCAATGAAAATTAACCAATTTTTGTTTGTCCTCGAAATCCTGGATCAATAATTGAGCTTTTCCTTCGTGAAAACATTGTCACCGTTGAAGTGGCCGGCATTTTTTTCCATCGTTTTGGTTCCAAATTGAAATAAAGAACAATTAAACTAGAATTTTTTTTTGTTCTTTTTTTTAATGAATTAAATGGTTATTTAGATGAATGGATTCCAGTTAGCAGGGAAAAAACACTTTTTTTAACAGCTACATTTAAAAAAGAGACTTTTTTTGGCAGTGAAACGAGTTCATTGAGAAAACTTTTGGATTTTGATGGATTTTGATGGATTTTGATGGATTTTGATGGATTTTGATGGATTTTGGTGTAATCTGGAACGCATTTTAGCTAATGAATGAGTTTTTTTTGCATGCTTTAGTCTTTAATGAGCAGAGATTGTCGACAATCGATTAAACTTCGATTGTCGAGGAGAGAAATGAAGCCAAGATTGAGGGCTTTAATGAAGACGAGATTAAGGAATGAAGCCTTCAATAAGGCGAGATTAAGGGCTTCAATAAGCCGAGATTGAGGGCTTCAATAAAGCCAAGATTGAGGAATGAAGCCTTCAATGAAGCCCAATTCTCTATCTAACGGCACTTTTGAAATAAGTTTGACATTTGCTAGCCAATTTTCTAAAAAAAGAGTTGCCATAATTTTTTGAGTACACTGGAGACAATATTTAAACATTTAAATATAATGTTTATATTCAAAAAAACGATTATAAATGTATAAAGAAGTTGAATTTTTAAAAGGAAAAAAGATTGGAAACACTGGAATTGAATCCACTCGAAAAAGTTTCGCGGACAAGCGCACTAGGCTTTGGCATTGGGCTTTGGCATTGGCTTTGCCCTTAGGCTTTGACACTAGGCTTTGGCATTGGGCTTTGGCTTTGCCCTTAGGCTTTGACACTAGGCTTTGGCATTGGGCTTTGGCTTTGGCTTTGCCCTTAGGCTTTGACACTAGGCTTTGGCATTGGGCTTTGGCTTTGGTTTTAGGCTTTGGCACTAGGCTTTGGCTCTAGGCTTTGGCATTAAGGTTTGGCACTAAGCTTTGGCCTTAGGCTTTGGCTCTAGGCTTTGGCTTTGGCTTTGGTCTTAAGCTTTGGCACTAGGCTTTGGCACTAGGCTTTGGCCTTAGGCTTTGGCACTAGGCTTTGGCATTAAGGTTTGGCATTAAGCTTTGGCACTAAGCTTCGGCCTTAGGCTTTGGCACTAGGCTTTGGCACTAGGCTTTCCCACTAAACTTTCCCACTAAGCTTTACCACTAAGCTCTCCCACTAGGCTTTCCCACTAGACTTTCCCATGGCTTTCCCCCTAAGCTTTCCCACTAAACTTTCCCACTAAGCTTTCGCACTAGGCTTTCCCAGGGTTCCGCTAAACACTAGACTCCACTAAGCTTTCCCGGCTTTCCCGAGTCCACGAAGGTAATAACTTTTCAGAAAATAGAAACTCGAGAAAAGCTTTCAAAATTCACAAACTTTCATCTCGAATATTTCCCTTCTAAAGCCTCAAAAGGGATTTTAGAATTGAATAGCTAGCTTTGGATTTGGATAGCTAGCTTTGTTTCAATCAAATTGTATCTAAATGATTTCTTGACTTGATTGCAAGCACTGGAATTGAATTCACTCAAAAAAAATTTCGCGAACAAGCGCACTAGGCTTTGGCAGTAGGCTTTGGCAGTAGGCTTTGGCAGTA